GGGGAAAGGCACAAACGGGGGATATTAGGATGCTTGGGAAAAGGCACCCCATGATGGTTTGGCTTAGGGGTTCCAACAGAACGTTTGTGAAGCATAAAACTCATAGTTGTTCTTGTCACGGTGAGAATGTGCAGAAAGACAGTAAGAGACTTGTTTCTCTGCTCAGCTACAGCCAACACGAGAAAGCAGTTAGCGGATTTTCCTCAAAGGTGGTGTTGTGTCGGACTCACAAATGGATACAGAGACCAAACTCAGCACGCTAGATTTTTGCCCATGAGAAGTAATTCCTGTCTAATGAGACATTTGGACCACTCAGGAGTAAGAGTTCGTGTCTCTGGGTCCTTACTTTGCCTGTCCTTCTCAGGGTCGGCTTCTTGATGGCAGGAACTCTGGGTGCGGGCCGACGGGGAAGGAGCTGGGTCACCTGGTAGGACTCTGGCTTGGCCACCCCAGGTGTGCGCTCTGGCTTGGAGCCCCCTGGGTCTCTCAGGACCATGGCATTCAGGGCTTCTTCTGGGGTCCCTGGAACGTAAGATTGCACGGCTGGGGGTTAAAGAGAAAGGCAATTCACTGCAAGGCTTACTCTCTAGACAGCCTACATTCTAAGGAGAATTTAGTGACAACATGTATTCCCTTAAAAAAAAAAAAATCTTTGAGGAGTGTCAACTTTGGCCCTCAGCTACTCATGCTCATCTTCTCAATAGGGGTAGTGGTCTGGGGTCCATGGACAGTTCTGGTGGGGGACCAGTAGGGCCTTGACATCATAGGCAAAGTCTTCTGTGCATGTGGATATCACAGGGGGAGGATCCAAAACCCACCCAAATTTCCAGGGGCCCATGACCAAGAAAATGCCAAGCTAGGGCCCTGGAGACAATTCAGATCTCAAAAATCTACAACTATCGAATTTCTTTTAATAAGAGCTTTATTGAGATATAATTCACATGCCCTAAAATTCACCCTTTTAAAGTGGACAATTTAGTGGTTTTTATTATATTCTCAGAGCTGGGCAGCCATCACCGCTTTCTAATTCCAGAACATTTTCATTACCCCCAAAAAGAAACCCCATACCCATTAGCAGTCATTCCCCATTCCCTCTTCCCCCCGGGCTTGGAAATCACGAATCTACTTTCTGTCTTTAAGGATTTGCCTGTTCTGGACATTTCATCTCAGCTGAATCATTCAACACATGGCCTCTTGTGGCTGACTTCTTTCACTGGCAGAATGTTTTCAAGGTTCATCCACATTGTAGCGATATCATTACTTCATTTCTTTTTATTGCTTAATAATATTCCATTGTATGGGCATACCACATTTTGTTTATCCATTCAATTGATAGACATGTGGGTTTTACATCCGTAGAATTGCAGTTATTTTTTAAAGATAATAGAAGAAACCATTTGTGGTGGTGTTACCCTAAAATGGTGTTTCTCAACCTCTGAAAACATGCCTTCTTTAAATGTTACTTGAGAATTCCAAGTAAGTTAAATATCCTGACTGAAAGCAAATTGTCATTGTAACTGTGTGTCTTTTCAAAGTAAATATCCCCCATCTCCAGAAGAGATTCTGGTACAAAGTAAAAACAAACACACAAAAATTTTAATTACCAGTAATTTTGAATGAGGAAGGTTCTGAGTTAAACTGTGATTCATATGGGTGAAGGGAAGTAACAGCAACAAAAAATTAACAAGCAGGACAGGAAAACTGGACAAATGGACATGGGAATCCAGGGTAGAAAGGGGGAGCATGCTGTCACATTGTGGGGATTGCAACCAGTGTCATAAAACAATATGTGTATAAGTTTTTGAATGAGAAGAAAAAAGAAATTAACAAGCAGTGGAGCAGAGAAGAGATCCTACCCAGCAGCAAAGGATCGTCTATACTTGCTGGGGATTTAAAAAGTGGATTTTGTGCCTGGAATAGGCCCCAAACCAAAACTCTTCTTACCATTTTTAAAATGCATTTTAGTTCATTTCAGTCTCTCCCATAAGTGACGTGTAACAATCCTTGGATGCTTTTTATATATGTCATGGATTGAATTGTGTCCCCCCCAAAATATGTGTTAACTTGGTGAGGCCATGATTCCCAGTATTGTATGGTTGTCCTCCATTTCGTGATCTGATGTAATTGTCCTATGTGTTGTAAATCCTAATCCCTGCCTATGTTAATGAGGCATGATTAGGTTATGTTAAAGAGGATTAGATGCAACACCCTGACTCAGGTCACAGCCTTGATCTGATGTAAGGGGAGTTTCCCTGGGGTGTGGCCTGCCTGCGTCACCTTTTATCTTATAAGAGACAGAAGGAGAAGCGAGTAGAGAGAGAGGGATCTGACTACCACCAAGAAAGAAAAGCTGGGAGCAGAGTGCATACTGTGGACCTGGGATCCCTCTGCTGAGAACCTCCTAGACCCGGGGAAGATTGATGCTAAGACACATGGAGAGCTCCAAGAAATGCTGGGCTCACAGATGTTAAAAGGAGACAAGGACCTTCCTCCACAGCAGACAGAGAGAGAAAGCCTTCCCCTAGAGCTGGCACCCTGAATTTAGACTTAGTTTCCTAAACCATGATAGAATAAATTTTTGTTTGTTAAAGCCATCTGCTTGTGGTATTTCTGTTATAGCAGCACTAGATAACTAAGATAATGTATTTACTGAACTTTGAATATATATTTTTAAATAGGCAATAACTATAGTAGTAGAATTTTAGAAAATGTTGCTAAGGGGTCAAACCAAACCAAACCCATTGCTGGTGAGTAGTTTCCAACTCATAGTGACTCCATGTGACAGAGTAGAACTTCTCCATAGGGATTCCTACACTGTATTCTTTATGGAAGCAGATTGCCAGGTCTTTCTCCTTCAGAGCCGCTGGGTGGGTTTGAACCACCAACCTTTCGGTCAGCAGCCAAATGCTTAACCATTGCACCATCAGGGCTCCTTTCTTAAAAATCTAACCTGTTAACCCATTGCTGTTGATTCTGACTCATAGTGGCTTTATAGGACAGAGTAGAACTGCCCCACAGGGATTTTTATGGAAGCAGACTGTTACACCTTTCTCCAGTAGAGTGGCTGGTGGGTTCAAACCGATGACCTTTTGGTTAGCAGCTGAGCACTTAACCACTGTGCCACTAGGGCTAAGGGGTATTTTCATTTAATACTGCCTCCAGGAAAAAAAAAATTCTTTTTTAGAGCACTTTAGTAGGAAAAGGAAAAGAAAATAAGGTTTTCCCCTTAGCCCACCTCCTTTGGCTTCCATGAGACACCGGATTGCCGCTTCCGCCTCCTGAGCATTGCTGGTTTTGATCTGCTTGACATTGTATGGTTTACTTATCCCGGTCCTGGCTTTGGGCTTGAGGACAGAATGAGGAAGGCAAGCACATTAACACAGGTAGGAGCAGGGCTTCACACACATGTTCATCACCTCCTGCTCTGAACACATATGAAGTTTACAGATTGAAACACAAACTCCAGTATGAGGCGCATCCGTTGATACTCTCAGATCGAGAAGAGGGAGGGAACGATACCAATAGCCACCAGTTACCATGGAGTCGATTCCGACTTACGGCAATCCTGCATGTGTCAGAGTAGAACTGTGCTCCACAGAGTTTATAATGGCTGGTTTATCAGAAGTAGGTCGCCAGGCCTTTCTTGCCAGGTACCTTTGGGTGGACTTGAACCTCCAACCTTTGGGTTAGCAGACTAGCACGTTTACGGTTTGCACTCACCCAGGGACTCCCTGGGTGGAAAACCCACTGCCATCAAGGCGATTCTGACTCATAGCGACCCTATAGGACAGAATAGAACTGTCCCACAGGGTTTCCAAGTCTGTAAATCTTTACGGAAGCAGACTGCCACATCTTTCTCCCTTGGAGCTGCTGATGGGTTCATACCACTGAGCGCTTAAACCACTGCGCCACCAGGGCCCCTTTGCCTGGGTGGAAAGCCCGCCCCCCAATGACCTGTCTCTTCTTGCCTCACTCACTCTCTCACGGAGGTGACGGCAGCGGAGAGGGGAGGTGAGGAGGCGGCAAGTGTTAGATTTTAACAAGGGTCAATAAGAGGCAAAGGGCTAGAAAGACAAGTGTGCAGCTACGCTCGACTATATGTTATCACGGGGGAAAAGGACAGCAAGGATTCACAGGAATTCACACATAATTCCTGAATCTCAGTTACGTCAGCAGATAAAATCTGAGTGCCTCCTGTGTGCCAGGCACTGTTCCAGGCAGAGGGATCCAGCCGTGCAGAGAACAAGACAGCGCCCCTGCCCTGCATGGGTTATATTTGAGGGAAGGACTCTCTTTTTTGTCTCCCCTCAACTCACTTTCCGCCAGAATGACCATCTTTTTGTCAGGACGTCTGGTCTGAACTCCTCGTTTCTCCCTCCCCCCAACCATGCTCTGCACTCCAAGGACAAAGGCAAGAATCAGAAAAGAGAAGCAGATGGGTCTGAAAACCCACAATCCTGCCACACAGGGGCACCTAGGGTTTTCATCAAAGGTGATGTCCTCTCTAACACCCTGTACAACCACTTTGTTGTCAGCTGCCGTCGAGCCAGCTCTGGCTCATGGTGATCTTACGTAGAACAGAACAAAACGCTGCCCAGTCGTGCACCACCTCCATGACCGTTGCTGTCTGAGCCCACTGTGTGGCTATTGTATCAATCCATTGTACTGGGTGCTTTCCTCATTTTTATCGACCCTCTGCTTTACCAAATCTGATGTCCTTTTCTAGCAATTGGCCTTTCCTGATGACGTGTCCAAAGGAAGTACTTTGGCCACATACAACCATTTACAGCCCAGTAAAAGGGAGAGGTTTAAAGAGACAGAGATCTAGGTATTCACGGAGAGGAGGCGACCCCAGGGGGGCCTCTGGGCTGACGGCGAGCCATGGGCAGCCCCTTGGGGTGAGATGCTGACCCGCCGTACTTGGGCACAGAACTCACTGGTTGCTGAGGTGCTCCTGGCAACAGCTTTGCTGTCTGCAAAATCGAGTACTGCCCGTGGGTGCCAGAGGAGATGGACACGTCCGAAGCCGACTTCTTCATCATCAAACCAGCTGGAAAAGCCAACAAAAGCAGAGTCACAGTTTCAGCGGAAGTCCTGGGCTGTTGCAGGGAAGTCCTGCTAGACCAGGGTGACATCCTGGCAGACGGCAGAGTTACTCTGAGTGCTCACAGATGCAGAAGGCTTACCGTGAACTGCCTTTCTCTTTTGATTCCCTAACAGCTTGTGCCTATTAATGTCAAGCATTATTTGAATGCAAATCCAGTCTAACATACTGGGGTTCGAATATGATATAAAACTCAACTGATTTTTTTAAATGGTTTGAAACATACTGCTAATAATATGATCAAATGTTTTAAATGTTTGCTGGGAAAAATCCTAAAATCCCAAAGCAGGGGAATAAATTATGTTAAATTATACCTGTAGTTGCCAACAATAATATTTAATGACACAGAAAAAGAATGATACATTAAGTGTAAAAAAGATAAATTACCAAACAAAATGGATACCCATTTTGTAAAAAATAATAACAAATGGGAAGACATAGATCTATATAACCGAAAAAAAGGCTGGAAGTCTTTTTGTTGACAACTGTTACCTCTAGGTAGTCAACTGAATTTAAAAATCTTATGCTTCTTTATATTTCTCTACTTTTGCAAATTTTCTACAATCATATATGACTTTTGTACTCAGCAAAACAAAAATATGCTTAAAAAGTGATGTACTTCTGGCTTCCAATAGCCTATTACTGTGATGCACACGTGAGCTATTAGGAACCCAACTCTGAAAATAAAGCCTTAGAAAGTCTACATGCCTGGTTGTCACACTTTGATTTTTTTTAGGGGGTGGGGGCGCAAGTAAACAGTAGAGGTGAAACAGAAAGCATGTGATGACTTTCTCTTCAGGTTTAAGGAAAGTGTGATGAGCAAAGCATTGCTTTTTGAGGAGCCAGAGAGAGCCCTGTCCTAGAAGACCCTGCTGAGGAAGAGCTTGCTCTGGGCCTGAGGGCAGCTGGTGGCCAGCAGCCCCAAATCACAGCAGGGGTTAGAGGCGGTGCGTGCGATCACCTCGCGTGCGGGGGTGGGGCCTGGCTGTCCTAGATTTCCAGTAAGTAGGGAGAGGCTGGCAGCAGTCACGGAGAAAGGAGGCCACCTTTGAATGACAGAGCAGGGGGGAGAAAGGAGCTGGAAAAGCCCCTCCCTCGGCTGTGCCCACTTTTCCATCTATAAGGTTTTAACCTGGAAGCAGCAGTCAGAGCAGGATGAAGACCAGCTTTGTAAATGAGTCCCTTCATTTGCCCAGAGAAACACAGCTACCTCCAGTATCAAACACGTCACGGGTTTGAGACAAAAAGGAGCCTGGCATGAGGAGAAAATCATGGGGGACTCGAAAGCAAGGTCAGAGCTGACTTAGAAGCAGGATTTCAGTAGGAGGAAGTGAGCGATTATTCCCAGCAGGCATGGTGGTGGTGAGTGGAAAGCAAGGAGAGGCTTACTTGGAGGGGGGGGTCTCTGCGGTGGGTGAGGTGGCCGAGGCCTATTGGGGACCGACAGAGACCTGCTTGGAGAACGGTGGCGGAAATCCCCAACGGCTTCCAGCTCCTGCTTTAACTCCGCCAGCTCAGCATCATCTGGAGGACATGCGGGACATGCATGAGACGGTCCGTCTGTGAGGCAAGGCTGTTGCCCGGGTCTGGGACGCCCACAGGACAGTGTCCACTCAGGAGCAGGCGCCCCTTTCTGCTGGCGGGGCAGGGAGGGAGGAGGGACTAATGCCTGCTTGGAATATTCAGTGAACCAAGGACGGGGCTTATTTTCCAGACATGAGAGACACTGGAAGATTTCCCTGAGGAGGTGTGTTTCTTTTGGAAATAATCAACATGCCTGGCATGCAGAGTGGAGAGACAGCTGGAAACCAGAGCCCTGAAGGCTCACTCAGTCGCTCACCCCACAACACAGCCAAGTGTTTGGAAGCCGAAGATATTCTTACTCCTCTGCCAGGAGGGCAGCCTACTGCCCGGCGTAGCTCCTAGTCTTGAGGATTCTAGGTATCGGACAAGTGTCTGCCATCTTGACAGCACCCACACGTTCTCTGAGGCTTGGAGGGGCATGGGGAGGTGTTTGCTTCTGTTCTGTTACCAAAAACCAGCTGCCATCAAGTTAATTCCGACTCATGGCAACTCCACGTGTGCAGAGTAGAGCTATGCTCCATAGGGTTTTCAAGGCTGTGACCTTTCAGAAGCAGATTGCCAGGCCTTTCCTCTGAGACACGTCAGGGTGGACTCAAACTGCCAACCTTTTGGTTAGTGGTTGAGTGATTAACTGTCTGTTCCCCCGAGGGGCGCGCTGGTTTCTGTGTGATTACAGAGCTTATACATTCAGGGCAACTTCAGGTCTTCTTTTCCCCTACCACACCACAGCCCAGTTCATCTCACTCTGGCTCATCCCTCAAGCCCTCCAGCTCAGCCCTGTGTATCTCTGCGGCTGAACTGGGGAGAAGCAGAGTTCCTCCTCCTAATGGGCCTGCCCGAACACCATCACTGCACAGCACTGAGCAGATGTGCACTCGCCGCCCGCCAGGTGGCCGGGCTGCCTGAAGAGTCCCACCTTGCTCAGTTAATGTCTTTACTCAGAAAGGCCTTTGTGCTCACACCAGCTCTGTCCTCCGGAGTCAGCCTGGGTGACAGCCACCCCAGAGAAAAGGCCACCTCACTCCAGGGCAGGAGCCCCTAGTCAGAAACACACAGAACCACCTTGATGCTCTGACAAGGCAGGTCCAAACCAGGCTGTGCGTGCAGATCACCAGGAAGCTTTATGAAACTCCTGATCATCAGTGTCCCCCCACCAAATCCCAGTTTCCACATGGGGCTCAGGGAAATGACTGTGTAACAGCTCCTAATGATTCCCTGTACCCAGGCCATGCATCCACTATGGGACCATCCCATAGTCAAAGGGGCTCAGGGGTCTGTCTCTGCACCTGTCCCTGCAAAATACCCCCTGGGAGGCCCCTGAATTCACTGTCACACCTGTTCTCTGTTCTCAGGCCCCATTCACAGGGTCCTGGCACATGGCGGGAGCCCTGCACTTGCTGGTCAGACCGTCCCTCCAACGGGGGGGCAATGACTCACAGCAGGAAGACAACCTTGGCTGTCTGCAGAACTGTGCCAAAGAGTCTGATGCTGGAACACGAACTACCTTACTTTCCAGACCGTGTAATTCTACCAGTATCAGTCTAGGACCAACTGCCGTAAGTCAGTTCTGACTCATGGTGACCCCGTGTGCATCACAGTAGAACTGTGCTCCACCTTTTTCAATTATGGTAGTATATTATCTATTTTATAACTATACAAAACAAACTAAAGAAAATTATAAATACATAGGTGCTCCCCCAAATAAAATCCACATAATCATTAGGAAAGAGGAAATTCATAAATAAATAAATGTGCTGTGTATAAATGTTTTCAATTGCTGGTTTTTCGGAAGTAGATCACCAAGCCTTTCTTCCAAGGCACCTCTGGGTGGACTCAAACCACCAACCTTTCAGTTAGCAGCTAAGAGCGCTGACTGTTTGCAACTCCCAGGGACTCCCATGTAACTCTACTGGGTTTTAAAACTTAGCTCAAAGGAGTTATTATACCATTTAATCTAGGAACTGTGCAGATCAATCAATAGAGCTTTTCAGCCCCTCTTTATTCAGGTCTAAAATGATTTAATGATGCTAATGTATAATACGGGGAGCCTTGGTGGCACAAGTGATTTGTGATTGGCTGCTAACCTAAAGGTTGTCAGTTTGAACTCACACACAGCTCCACAGAAGAAAGTCCTGGCAAACTGCTTCCGTAAAGATTACAGCCAAGAGAACCCTATGGAGCAGTTCTGCTCTGGAACTCAAAGGGTCATCATGAGTAGGAATCAACTTGATAGCAAAGGGTTTTTTTTTTCTTTAATATTACTACATAATAATAAATATAATAGTATATCAATATAACAATACATCAGCAACTCAGGACATAGATATTAAATGCCTTATGGGATTAAGTCAAAAGTTTTTGGGGAAAAATCAAAAATATAGAACGAATTCAGACCTGTGACCACATGAATAGACAGAGGAGATGAGATTGTTGAGCATCTGGCTTTTTACAGGGACAGAAGTTGTAAAAACATGAAACAACTGGAGAAAACCAGTGTGGTGAAAGCTGGGTCCCTCTCCACAGTCCCGTGTCCACACTGACTGTGACTCTTGTCCTGGGCTCTGATGGGCCATGCTCACTTGGTGGGACCATTATGAATCCCAACTGTGAGGGAGAAAGAGCGTATCTGTCCTGGGTGGAAGTAAATGCCGCAGGCTGTTTGGGAACGGAAGGTCCACCTACCTTTGTACGTTGGCTGCTGCTGCTTCTTGGTGAGTGCAGGTGACCTGCTGGGAGGGGCTGCTGCTGTGGAGCTAGTGGCTTCCGGAAGGTCGTCTCCCAGCAGCTCACTGTCAGAGACCACCGGCCGATTTAGCTCTTCCACCAAATAGTCCTCATCGTCTTCCAGAATGTCCCCTTGGAGCAGGAAATAGATCACAGAAGACAATGAGGGTGAAAAGCACCTACTCTTTCATCAGTGGGTCTATTTTGACATGACGCCTGGGGTTCCGGCCAGAACACACGTGGTTTGGGCCTGAAGTAGCACACATGTGATCAGAGACAGTGCTGCGACCCCATCACGCAGGAGGCACGGGGCCAAGCTGACACCTTTAGAGCCACGGTTCTTAATCTACCTTTAGACGGCTCTAGGATCCCACCATGCTACCCGTGAACATAGCCTGTACTTAGCACATGGAGTGCAATGCTTGTACTCTGAAGAGTCTTTAAACCTTTACAAGGCAGGGCTTTAGAAGGGGGCTTTAAAATCTCATGTCTTTTGCTAGAATGTTTGCATGACCCCCTTCACCAGACCCATGGAAAAGTCCTCACAGGGTTACTAACCTTCAGATTCATAGTCCAAACTCGTGAAGTCAAAGTTTTCCTCTAGCAAGTAGGAATTGGCCGTGGGAGACAGAGAGGCCACGCTCTCCCGTTTCCGAATGATTTCCTCTTGCAAACCTTTCAGCCAGTCCTTTGTCTTGGGTCTAATCTTCACTGCTCTGCCTTTCACCTACAAGGGCAGAGTGACCATCAAAATAAATAAGTAAAACCAACTCCTTTCAGTCACAGAATGCTTCTCACACAACGCATCACGCACTGGGAGCCAGGCCCATCCTCACGCTTTGCCAAGATGGCAGAAAAGTTGAGGGTCCCAGCCCCAGCACAGCTCTCTCACAGTTGGTCTAAATAAAGGTTGAATCACCATCTCCTGCTTTTCTTTCCATGTGAACTGAAAACCGGAATATTAGCAAAGCAGAAACTACATACGAGCTGCATATTCTAAAGAGAAAGATTAAGACATGGTCCCATGTGGAGGTCTGAGAGAAGGCAGCCAGGTCACTCCATGGGAGCTGGACTCTCAATCTTGCTCTTTCTCCCACGCTCTGCACATAGCCAGGGCTGGACGCTGGACAGCTCAGTTAACCAGAGGAACAAATCCTGGCTCCCTCCCTCATGCATACCTACATGTGAAGACACAGGCCAGGGCAAGAGGAGGGGGACAACACGGCCACATCAAAGCAGCAGAAAACCTAGCATCTGGGGTCTTAAAAGCTTGTGAGCATCCATCGAAGATAAAACTATTGGTCTCTACTCATCAGGAGCAAAAGAGAAAGAAGGAAACCAAAGTCTCAGAGAAGAAACTAGTCTACAGGGCTAATAGCTTACATGAGCCACGGCATCATCTACCTTGAGGCCAGAACTAGATGGTGCCCAGCTATCATTACTAACCGTTCTGATCAGGAACACAATAAATGCACCCTGATAGAATGGCAGAAAAACGCAGAACAGAACTCAAATTCTTAAGAAGTCCAGACTTAATGGACCCGTTGAGACTAGAGGACTCCCTGAGACTATTGGCCTGAGACACTCTTTAAATCTTGAACTGAAACCATCCCGAGGTCACCTTTTAGCGAAATAATAGACTGGCACACAAAATAAAGGATATCACCTGTGATATCCATTAAAAAGCCATCTATATGAGACCCAAAGGTCAACAATTACTCTGAAGCAAAGATGAGAAGATAAGGGGGCAGGGAAACTAGAGTATGGGAAACTGAACAACCAGAACACAAAGAAAATGTTGACACATTGTGAGAAATGTAACTAATGTCACTAAGCAATTTGTAGAGAAATTATCAAATGGGAACCTAATTTGCTGTGTAAGCTTTCACTGAAAACAAAATAAAATATTATTTAAAAAGCATCAGAAAAACATGGGGATCCATCAGCCCCTACTCCACAGCTGGTCAGTGTGACCTACCTTCATGCCATCCACGTCCAGGACGCTGAGAGCCGAGTGACTATCTGCAAAAGTCACCAGCATCTGCCCTTGGTTGATCCTGGAATAGATAAAACACGCCAAGTCAGCCAGAGAACCGCGTCCTCGAGGAGATCCCACTCTGGATCACGCCAGCTAGCTGCGGGTACCTGACGAGAACGATGGTCCCGTAGTTCCCCAACGTCTGCATAAGCTCGGCGCGCAGGTCCTCGGGGAACTCGCTCCTCTCTTCTAAGGTTGGCGACTGGAGATTTACCACGACGGTGGCGTCCAGGGGGCCCTGGAAAGAGGAGACCTCCTGGAAAACTCTCTCCCGGGCGTCCGCATCAATTTCTTGTACCTCTGCCTCCACGATGGCCAGCACAGGTCTGTTAGACACAGAGGGAAATGGAAACCATGAACCTGCAACATCGACATATAGAGGACACCCACCCAGTCAGCAGCGCCCGACACCTAGACTTTGCTGTCGCAGTGAACGTGGACCACCCGCAACTGTGCCCAGCGGAGAACGTGGACCACCCACAACTGTGCCCAGTGGAGAACGTGGACCACCCACAACTGTGCCCAGCGGAGAACGTGGACCACCCACAACTGTGCCCAGCGGTGAACGTGGACCATCCACAACTGTGCCCAGCGGTGAACGTGGACCACCCACAACTGTGCCCAGCAGAGAACGTGGACCACCCACAACTGTGCCCAGCGGTGAACGTGGACCACCCGCAACTGTGCCCAGCGGAGAACGTGGACCATCCACAACTGTGCCCAGTGGTGAACGTGGACCACCCACAACTGTGCCCAGCGGAGAACGTGGACCACCCACAACTGTGCCCAGTGGTGAATGTGGACCATCCACAACTGTGCCCAGCGGTGAACGTGGACCACCCGCAACTGTGGTCCCAGGCCAGCTGTCTTGTCCTGAGGACCTCCATTTTTATCTTAAGCCAATCTCAGTATTAGCTTAGCATTTTTATCTAAGGATGATCAGGTGGCCTCAGGGTGGGAAGGGGTTGAGGGGAAATGGGGAGCAAATGCTAATACGTATGGGGTTTCTTCTGGGATGATAAGATTTAACCCAGGAATCAGAAAACAAGCAGGTTTCGGTAAAGAGTTTTTCTTTTCTTTTCTATTGCTGTAAGAATATGTATAACACAACGTTTGCCAATTCAACGTTTTTGACGTGTACAATTCACTGGCATCAATTACAGTAATCATGTTCAGCCACCATTACCAATAATCGTTGCCAAATCTCCCATCGCCATAAACAGAAACACACTGCTCCCTGTGCGTGGCTCCCCTTTCTCCTCTCTCCCGCCCCGGTGTCCACTCATGTACTCGGCTCAGCAAAGAGCCTTTCAGTGGTATCTCCAGTACTGCTAAGGATGCAGACAGACGGACACTCCTTCTTGGCCAGAGGTTCCAGCTTCTCTGAGGACTACTCAGCAATTTGTATTAAGAGTATCAAAAATATTCATCTTTTTTCACTTAGTAGTCTAACTTCTAGGACTTTGTTTTAGGGAAATGATCAGAGATTCAGACAAAGATTTATAGACAAGGTTGCTCAGGAAAGCATAGCTGATAGGAGGAGAAAAAGAAAACAATCTAATTGTTCCCTAACAGGGAAGAAGTTATGAGACATCTGCGTAATAAAACCAAAAACCAAACCCATTGCCGTTGAGTTGATTCCGACTCATGGCGACTCTATAGAACAGAGTAGAATGGCCCCATAGCATTTCCAAGGCTGTAATCTTTATGGAAGCAGACTGCCACGTCTTTCTCCCGCAGAGCGGCTGGTGGGTTTGAACTGCCAACCTTTCCGTTAGCGGCTGAGCACTTAACCACTGTGCCACCTGGGCTCCTCCATGCAATAATATGCAATGTAATCATTAAGAATAATGTAGTAGAACTCTGTTTGACATACACAGGAAAACAGATGGGTAGGAGATAATACAGTTGCCACTGTGGTTTTAATATAGGGATGGGTGATGTGTTAATTATTTACAGAATCTTAGAAAATCCTTTATTATGAAGATTATGTAAACTTAACTAAAGACATTTACAATATAATATTAAGTGGAAACAAAGCAGAATACAAACTAGCATATATTATGGTGGGAACCTTTAAAATGACGAACACTGCAAAAATGAAGTGATCTGATGGGATGATGGTATCACGTGGCCTCGGGCTGAGAAGGGGCTGCAAATGGGGAGCAAACGCTAAAGTGTATGGGTTTCTTCTGGGGTGATAAGAATGTTCTAGAAGTGATAGTGGTGAGGGTTGCACAACTCTGAATATAATAAAAACCATCGACTTGCACATTTTAAATGGGTGAATTGCATGGTATATGGATTATATCTCAACAAAGCTGTTATTTTAAAAAAGGAAAATAAAAACCTTGAAGTGTTTATAACAACAAAATATTAGAAAAAATATTCATCAATAGGTGAATATTTAAATTTCATGGATGGATGTAAAGGTAGGGTAAATGAATGCAGTGTAAACGCATGTAGGGTAAAGTTCATGGATATATGTAGTGGAATACTGTACAGCAGTTACAAATCCATGAACCAGATCTATAACATCCACATGACTGTATCTCAAAAATATTAAGTCAAAAAAAGCAAGCTGCACAATGACATCATTCATGAAAGTCTGAAAAACCCAAAATACTAAATTTTCACAAACGATGTCATGTATGATTCGGAGTAATGGTAAAATGTTAACATTTATTCATCCTCGGTGGTGGGTGCACAGAGGTTTGTCACATTATCCTTTGTTCTTTATTGTCTTTTGCACACACGCAGGCACGCAGGCACACAGGCATGCACGCACGCAGGCAGGCACCCCTTTATGGGAACAGCATGTGAGTTGTCTGCGGGAAAGAGGAGCTCCTGCCTTCCCGTCAGCAGAGGAGAGGACAGCATGCCCGTCCTGGCAGGGACCGTACCTGTGATCAGATGCTTGCAGCTCCGCCCGGCCGTAGTACATGAGGACCCCAGGAGACCAGGTGTGTTTGACTTTGGAGTCAGTGTTGAGATCATTGTCCAGAAGGTTGAGTTCTCCTGCTACTCACAGGGGTTCCATTCAAGAGATCCACACACAACACAAAATTGTATCACTATATGTGGGTGCTGATTAGGACACCTCTGCCAAGAGCTACTTCACAAAACACCATGGGTCTCACTCTTACGCACTCTACCCTCTTGGGCTTGAAACCAGCCTGGGGAGTTGCTTTGGGGACTGGGGTTTAAAAATCCTCAAGTGTAGACTATCCAAAACAGCAGAAGCCAGCCATTGGTGCATGTCCTCGCCTGCGTGCAAACTGAGGCCTTGGGACACAGGGCTCACTGCTGTCATGTTTTCTGCTCCAAGGCCACCGGGGTCACAGACAGCAGCCCTTTGAGCACTAACTGGGGAGACCTGAGAACAGCGTCTGGCCCCACCTCAGTGCCCCGGGTAGGCAGGTGCTCACTGACGCCTCTGACTGAAAATTTACTTTCCCAACCTGCAACGTCAGTAATGTCTTAGTAACGTGAGCATACATCTCCCCAGAAAAGTTCCACTGGTCATGTACTGTGGACAGGTGTTCTAATTTAAAATAAACCGCCACTTCTTAGATGGCATCAATAGGAGCTCAAAACATCCTTGTGAACTAATGGATAACTCTTATCTTTATGGGTCTACTGGTTGCCGTGAAATCAACTCTGATTTATGGTAACCCCACGTGTGTCACAGCAGAACTGTGCTCCATGGGGTTTTCAATGGCTGATTTTTCACAAGTAGACTACTGCCAGGCCTTTCCTCAGAGGAGCCCCTGGGTGGACTGGAACCTCCAACCTTTCGGTTAGCAGTCAAGCACCATCCAGGAACTGCTGTCAGTGTCTCGCTCCCATTTAATCTGGAATTGGGACTTTAAGCAGACGAAGTAAGAGTTTGGTAGGACTGGGTGGGCAAAATGGGCTAGGTGAAGTCCACAAGTACTGTGAGTGAGGATGGGGGGAGGGAAGAGGCACGGAGAGGGAAGAACACAGCTTGCTGACACTTCTTTCCCCACCCCGAACAAAGCAGGGGTGGAGGGAGCACCCAGGGGTGGTGGGGAGTCCAGAGCAGGGCCATTGGCGGATCACTGTCTCACACAAGAGACCAGAGCTCAGGGGTTAGCATCTGAGGTGACTTGGTTGTACCAGATCTGGGCTATCATGAAAGGTGTCGTTTATACACCAAAGAGCACGGGGCTGAATGATGTGGCTTTCCCTCACCCTCCACCAGCTCTCCAGCCTGTGTGCCTCACTCACCTGTCTTATCAAACGAGTGTTTCCTCCGCCACCATAGCACCCTGTCTGTCCAGGCCGGCGTTCGGCATTTGTCGCTCGTATCGTAGGCAGCCGAGCCGACATCGTACTTGTAGGTGGGGCCAAAGTTAATGGCTCCTTCGTGAAAGTCTTTAAAAATCTATTTGGCGAGAAAGAAGTCACAAGACATCTCAGTTCTCCTAGATTCTGGTTGTTAAATGCAAAAACAAAACGCACCTAAAAAAGACACATTCCAGAGGGCTCTGTTCTCAAAAGGTAACTGTCTTAGCCATCTAGTGCTGTCATAACAGAAATACCACAAGCGGATGGTTTTAACGAAGAGGAGTTTATTTCCTTACAGTTCAAGTAGGCTAAAAGTCCAAATTCAGGGCATCAGCTCCAGGGGAAGGCTTTTTCTGTCAGCCTTCTTCTCTTCAGTGTTCCCCCGGACTAGGAGCTTCTCGGTGCAGGGACCCCGGTCCAAAGGAGGCGCTCTGCTCCCGGCACTGCTTTCCTGAAGGTATGAGGTCCCCCTGTCTCACTGCTCACTTCTGTCTTTTATATCTCAAGACATTACCTCAGGATACAATCCAATCTTGCAGACTGAGTCCTGCCTTACTAACCCAACTGCCGCCCATCCTCCCTCATTAACATCATAGAAGCAGGTTTACAACATACAGGAAAATCACACAGTACCAGGAATCATGGCCTGGCCAAACTGATACACACATTTTTGGGGGGACATAATTCAATCCATGACAGTAACCATCTCCATTATATTGGTAAATATGTTCAAAGCTGGACACACAGGCACTCTTAAATTAGCAAAAAAGTGATAATCGTCGATTCACTGCTGTGTCACACACGTCTCCCTCCCACCTCAGGTCCTGGCACACTGTCCCCCTCCAGTCGCCCAGGGGCTAACCAGGGTTGCCTGTGCCTAACAGGGCCTTAATAAATATTTGTGAATAACAGGGACTGAGGAGACAGAAGTTCTAATTACAATTGAGCTACTCGCTGTCTTTGCTTAGCTCTGGATCCCGCCTTGGTGCCATGGGAAGGCCTGGGCATGAACATTCATGAATCCCTGGAGTCATCAGTGAAACGGTGTGAGAAGACTGGTGGGGAGGAAGAAACAACAGCCCCTTTCCATCGTTCGCTCCTCAGCAGTCCACGCTACTGGCAGGGGTTGAGGTGGAGGGCACAGGAAACCTTGAAGAACATCCCTAAATCCACCTGTGGTGAAAACCTTAACTTCCCTATCCTCAGCCACTGAACAGCTTCATACTCGGAAGGTCAATGGAGTTTAAACATGCTTCCCTCATCTCAGAGTCCCTGGGTGGAGTAAATGGTTAATGTGCTCAGCTCCTAACTGAAAGGCTGGAGTTTCCAGTCCATCCAGAGGCGCCATGGAAGGAAGACCTGGCGATCTACTTCCGAAAAATCAGCCATTGGAAACTCTATGGAGCACACAGTTCTACTCTGACACACATGGGGGCACCGTGAGTTGTAAATAACAGCAACTGGCTGTCGCATCTCAGTCCATCCTGCTAGGAGGTTAGCAGGCACTGACTAAGCGAACAGGGCTCACTGGAGAAGATAAGATTTGGGTCATCTAGAAGCTGGCTGCTGTGACTTCGAATAACTGAGGGTAGACCCGAGAGAGGAAGCTGCCCTATTCATGGCATGGCCTAAGGAGTCACTAAAAGCATGCATGTGGGCCACACAGGGGAAAGCTATGCACTCTGTAGCTTGTCAGTGTTGGACTGAATCATGGCTCTGTTGACTGGCTGTGTGCCCTGGCCAAGTTATTTGCCCTTGGCCTCAGTCTTCTTGTTTATACAATGGGTATAATGACTAATTTGTGGAACAGCCTTGAGGATTACACGTACAAATTGGTATGTACGATATATTAGACATTACTATAATTTGTCAGTGTTTTCACAAACAAGAAATAGGAGATGTCACTAAAATGAAGTACTTTGAGCAAGGTTTTAAGTGCCCCTAAGTGGTTTACTATATCTGAAACAAAGCGGTCCCTAAAGTCTTGTCCATGAGTGTGAGGAGACGGGGTGGATTTGTGAGTGTGGATGTGTGCACATCAGCATTCAGCGTCCTTACATGATGACGTGCTCAACGCTGATCTCAAGGCCACCAGAAAGCAGCTGTGACTCCGACTGAATACTGCTACTTACTGGTGTAGCCCTCTGGAGGTGCAAACAGTCAATGCCCTCAGCTGCTAACCCAAAGGTTGCAGGTTCAAGTCCATAGAGAGGTGTCTCGGAAGAAAGGCCTGGCAATTTACTTCTGAAAAATCGACCATTGGAAACCGTATGAGCACAGTTCTACTCTGACACACACGGGGTCGCCACGAGTTAGAGTCAACTGGACAGCAGCTGGTAACTCACTGGTGAGGCACAGAGAAACTGAAGGCTCAGCTTGTCTGAAAAAGTAAAGACAACAAATCCACCTCCAGCCACAGGAGGGCGCTCTAGTGCCGGCAGATGGAGTTCCATTGTTGCTCCTCAGGCTCGTTTCAGGACAAACGGAAGTGTGTGTGAATGAACGTCTGTGTTTCTCTAAGTTCGTACGCCACACCTGTTTTCTACAATATCAGGAATGCTGTTAAATCCACTCATGAAACTTAGTTTGCTGAAAACTAGAGTGTACGTTTAATATTACACCATATCGGAGCAACTGCTAAAAAAACTTTTAAAAGCACAACTTACTTTTCCACTTGACTTCTGTAGCTGTAGCTGATCAAATTCCAGAAGTTTCTTCCAGTCTTGGCGTTTAACAAAATAGAAGACTTCTTCATACGTAAGATCGATGCGGTAGTTTAAATCGCCGCACCAAAACACATAGTCGTGAGAAAAAATGTTTCTTCCCTAAAGTTGCAAAGAAAACAGAGATCAGTGAAGCATGTTATGCTTACAGGAAGGCGGGAGAGGGAAGAAAAACATGGTCACACACAGATGACAAGAAAACTACAACTGTCTTAAAATGTACCTTAAAAAATAAGGTCTTCTGTGAGAGCATTTCACTTTTCACAAATCCCATTAAAAAATCTAGGAATTTTTACATGGCTTGCCTTTTAATTTCAGAGAATGGTTTTGTCCAGTGGTTTGGAGAAAGCTCCAACTCTAATGGGAAGAGCATGACATAAATGTTTACTCTGCTGATCCAAGTCATGAGGATCTGTCTCTAGCTAAGAACTGCCCAAACATTCAGCGTTATGAGGATGAGGTTTAAGAAAAACAGTGTAAGTGCTTAGGATATGCAACTTCCTAAGACTTCACTGAGTTTGCACATTTCACGCTGAGATCCACCATCTCATCCTCACCTCCTCGTCTTTCCTCCTCATCTGGCCCAGTCACCATGAGCCCACGCCCACCAGAACCCACGTCAGCCAGCCCAGCCCTGGACAGCGGGAACCCAGGCTCCTGGTCCTCTCTCTTCCCCGAGGAATCACAACAATGACAGCAGCTGCTGTGTATCAACATCTACAAGGGCCAAGTCTGTTAAGACCGTGCTCGGGAGCATTTCCTCCTCACAGCAGCCCTGCGTAGCAGATACTATCGGCTCTCTTTTTCAGATTTCCAAAAAAAAAAAACGTTCAGAAACTAACCTGCGGAGGTTACACAGCTAGCACGTGACGGAGACAAGATTTGAACTCAGATCCACTATCTCCATCATCCGTTTCTGTTCTACTACACTATGTGGCATTCCCCTCTCCCCAGCCCACAATAATAATCTAGACAAAAGGATTACAATGACTGTACAACAAATACAATGAGTGTATAGAACAGTGCTGTCCAATAGCTCTTTCTGCAATGACAGGAATGTTCTATATCTGCATTGTCCTGTCTAACCTGGTAGCCACTAGCCACACATAACTATTGAACACATTAAATGTGGCCAGTGCAACAGAGGAAGCAATTTTTAAAAAAAAATTTAAACAGCTACTTGTGGCTGTTGTTAGTTGTTAGGTGCTGTCGAGTCGGTTCTGACCCATAGCGACCCCGTGTACAACAGAACGAAACACTGCCTGGTCCTGCACCATCCTCATGATCGTTGTTATGCTTGAGCCCACTGTTGCAGCCACTGTGCCAATCCATCTCATTGAGGGTCTTCCTCTTTTTTGCTGACCCTGCACTTTACCAAGCATGATGTCCTTCTCCAGGAACTGATCCCTCCTGATAACATGTCCAAAGTGTGTGTGTCCAAAGTAAGTCTCAGTTTATCATGCTGTGGTGGCTTCATGTTGCTGTGATACTGGAAGCTTTGCCACTGGTATTTCAAATACCAGTAGGGTCACCCTTGGTGGACTGGTTTCAGTGAAGCTTCCAGACTGAGAGACTAAGAAGAAGGACCTGGCAGTCTACTTCTGAAAAAACTGGCCAGTGAAAACCTTATGAATAGCAGCTGAACTTGTGGCTAGTGGCTACTATATTGGACAGCACAGGTGTACGGTACCCTCAGTAATTCTGCTGTTGAAAAAAAGAGCTATAGTATGAGCCCCTTAATTACTCTGAATGTGTCCTATTTCGAAATAGCATTTTTAAGTGACATAGGCTTGATTTTTTCCCCCCTAGTAAAATATTTCAAGCATTTTATTCATTGGACTTTTTAACAAAATCACACTAATGTATAAGAAAACATGCATGATGTTCTACATGGAGCCCTGGTGGTGCAGTGGTTAAGAGCTCAGCTGCTAACCAAAAGGTCAGCAGTTCGAATCCACCAGCTGCTCCTTGGAAACCCTGTGGGGCAGTTCTACTCTATCCTATAGGTCACTATGAGTCAGAATCGACTCAACCGGTTCTTGGTTTGGTTAATGTGCTACATAAATCTGGAAAACCAGAAACTGAAAATTTCCCAAACTACTTATTTGTTTCTCCTTTAACTCAAGAAATAAAAACTACACCTTTTTTTTTTACTAGGAGCATGGCACTTACAATGAAAACTAAGGAAGCTGAGCCTTGCGTGCGTGTGCAGTCCAGCGCACGGGAGGCCAAGCCTAAGGACCCTGTCCTCATATGGAAGAGCTGTGTGACTCGACCAGACACTGGAAGAGCACGTGGCCAGAAAAGTCTGTCCTCACTACCAGGAAACAGCTGGAGCTCGCTGAGGGTGTGCCAGAGGTGTGCCGGGCATCATCTTTGCATAAGAAGGAGAACACTGAAATCATAATTTAAACAGAAAATCTGCTGGCTTCAGAGTGAAAGGAGTCCCAGGGTGATGCAAACAGTTAACACGCTTGGCTAACAGAAAAGGCGGCGGTTCAAGTTCACTCAGAGGCACCTCGGGAAGAAAGTCCTGGCAATCTACTTCTGAAAAATCAGCCATTGAAACCCCTATGGTGCACAGTTCTACTCTGACACACGCAGGGTCGCCAGGAGCTAGAATCGACTTGATGGCAAAGGGTTTTTGTTTTCAGAGTGAAAACCTCTGGTCCACCACTAGAGGGCAGCATTACGTGTGTTATCAGAACCTCAAGCCCAGATGGCAGGATCCAGGGCTCAGTAGTTATGAATTCTGCTGATGTCTAAAATGGGGTTCTTATCTGAGCCATTCTGTTGGATGTATATGTAAAGATGGTGAATGGCAAGAAAATGGACTCAAATGTTCTTCACTAACTTGGACAAAGCATGGACACATTGGTTTTCTTCCCTCATTCTACCCAGTTGAACTGCAAAATTGGAAAATGCACGTGAGAAAATTCAGGGTGCATAAAGACACCCAAGAAATGTATAGACACAGAGATAAGAGGGGGCACAGAATAGCCCAGGGCTGGATTACCCATGTGCGTCCCTGGTCATTACCATGGAAGGACACATCCATTCCACCTCCCCCAATGTTGAACACCTCAAGGGCAGAGCCCCTCCTTATGGTTGTGTCCCCAATGCCTGGCGCACACGAGCAGCTCAAAAACTCACTGATGGGACTTAATGAGCAGGAGGCCACAGCACCACAACCCCATCACCACCACCGGGCTCCGTCCACCATCCCCGCCTCTCACCGTCGGGAAGCTCAGCTTCTGGGTGATCTCCTTGTAGTCCTCGTTTCTCTCTTTCACCTGGGACTGCCCAGCCGTCAGGTGGCTGCAGATGAAGCAGAAGCTGGTGCTGTGGAACTGGAGGCGGATGCCCACGGCACCTTTGTTCCCCGCCTTTCCTCCCATCCCTGTCTTCACCGTGTCGATGGCCACGTCCCTGGAACAGAAGAATGCACACATCGCGTTGGTCTCTTAGTGGCAACAAGGAAACACATGAACCTGTTTTGCTCTAGAGAAGAGCCCTAGTCACAGTGGCTTCAGTTCAGAGTCTGTTGAGTCACATCTTGTTGAGTGACCAACATGGTGTCCATGGCTCCCATTGTAAGGAGGCCTCTCCTCTCACTAAGGACAAGTTCCCTCGTGGAAGGACAGAGTATCTCCTAGACAGCCCCAACTCTGATGGGCTTTGTACTCAGAGAGTCCCGAGGATGCACTGGATGAAGTTACCAACACGTCAGGTCCTGCTTTCAGCTTCCATGAACGTCACATCATGGTCCCCCACCCCATGTGTCTTCCATGCAAAGCACAGGAGGTGTCATCCAGATAATCAACACAGTTCAAGGACAAGGAAACAACCAGCTGTTTATGCTGGGCTGGTAGGTGGTTTCAAACTGATTTTTGTTCAACACAGACTCCCACTCACACTCAAGCCAACTTTTGTTTTGGTGAAAATATATACAACAAAACATATACCCATTCAATTTCTACATGTACAAATCAATGCCACGGGTTACATTCTTTGCGTATGTCACTATTCTCTCAATCTCTGCCCATCTTGTTTTACCACCATTAACTTTTACTCTCTATGCCCCTTAAAGTTCTCAACTGTGCTTTAGTTACTGTTGTCAACTTGATTTCATAAAAATAATTCTTTAAAAGAGCTAAATGTTCTTTACGAATTGAGCTAAACTGTTTTGTTTATAGATGACTTCATGGGATAGGTTTTTTTTTAAATTTTTTTTACTGTACTTTAGATGAAGGTTTACAGAATAAATAGTTTCTCTTAAACAATCAGTACACATGTTGTTTTATGACATTGGTTAACAACCCCACGACATACCAACACTCTCCCTTCTCGACCTTGAGGACCTTTTTTTTGGGTGAAAATATACACAGCCAAAATTACACCATTTTGAAAGTTTCTACATGTACAATTCAGTGACATCGATTACATTCTTCCAGTTGTGCTGCTATTCTCACTCTCCTTTTCCAAATTATTCCATCACCATTATCTTCCACTCACTGCCCCCTAGGCTTCCCATCAAACCTTTTGAGTTGCTGTTGTCCATTTGATCTCACATAGATAATTCTTTTTTTTTTTTTGTACCTTAAATGAAGGTTTGCAGAACAAACAGTTTCTCATTAAACAGTTAGTACACATATTGCCCTATGACAATGGTTGACAACCCCATGACATGTCAACACTGTCCTTTCTCAACCTTGGGTTCCCTATCACCAGCTTTCCTGTCCCCTCCTGCCCTCTAGTCCTGGTCCCTGGACTGTTGTGCCTCATTAGTCCTGTTTTATTTCATGAGGCTGCCCAATCCCCGGCTGAATGGTGTATTTCAGGAGGGGCTTCACCACTGGGCTAAAAGGGTGTCCGGGGGCCATACTCTCGGGGTTTCTCCAGTCTGTCAGGCCAGTAAATCTGGTCTTTTTTTGTGAGTTAGAATTCTGTTCTACATCCTTTTCCAGCTCTGTCCAGGACCCTCTATTGTGATCCCGGTCAGAGTAGTCAGTGGTGGTAGCCAGGCACTGTCTGGCTGTACTGGACTCAGTCTGGTGGAGTCTGTGGTAGCTGTGGTCCATTAGTCCTTTGGACTAATCTTTTCCTTGTATCTTGTTCTCTTCATTCTCCCTTGTTCCCGAAAGGGTGAGACCAGTGGAGTATCTTAGATGACTGCTCACAGGCTTTTAAGACCCCAGACACTACTCACCAAGGTAGAATGTAGAACATTGTCTTTATAAACTGTGTTATGCCAAATGAGCTAGATGTTCCATGGGATAGTTTTGATGCAAGGTTTAAAGATTATTTCAGGACAGTAGATTTGGAGGTTCCCCAGTCTCAGTGGATCCAGTAAGTCTGGTTTCCACAGAGATTTGATGTTCTGTTCCCACGTAAAATGCCAATTTCTAATGCACACATACATTCGTTTCACATACTTCATCTCACATACTTTGGACATGTTATCAGGAGGGATTAGTCCCTGGAGAAGGACATCATGCTGGGTAAAGTAGAGGGTCAGTGAAGAAGAGGAAGACCCTCAACAAGATGGATTGACACAGTGGCTGCAACAATGGGCTCAAGCATAACAAGGATTGTGAGGATGGTGTTGGACTGGGCAGTGTTTCATTCTGTTGTACATAGGGTCACTGTGATTCAGAACCAACTTGATGGCACCTAACAACAACAAGTGAGTGGCTCATCCATGGACCCATGGACTGAAAGCAAACAACTTAACACCAGCGACTGGGTCACAGACTGAGGCCCACCAGTGTGTCTGCTCTCTGGACTGTTACTCAGCAAACAACACAAGGGGGACAGCTTGGGAATGGGTGTGCCAGCTAAACAAGCTTGAGCCAAACTGAGAGGCTGAGGACACAGGTGACCAGACCCGAGGCCGGGTTGGGAAATTTAGAACTCCTCAACGTCGCTCCTTTTTCAAGGTTCATCTCCAACCTTGACCCTAACCTAACCGTGACTCTAACCTTTATTAACTTTTACCCACGAAAGCTGGACTCTTCCAGACTGCCATAACACGTTCAAAGGGTTGTAACTTAAAAACTTTGCTGGAAGATTCATAAAAGAGGATTGAGAACCCAGGGCACAGTCTTGCTAGCTAGACCAAGGGTACACGAGTGGTCTTCCAAATATACAGAGGTGCTCGACCAGGTGTAATCCGACTTGATTTAGGAGGAAAAGGCTAGCTCACACCTGACATCAGCAATTAGAATTAGTTGTTAGTTGCTGTCAAGTTGGCTCCAACTCATGATGATCCGATGTACAACAGAATGAGATGTTGTCCAGTCCTCTGCCATCTTCCTGATGGTTGGTATGCTCAAGTCCATTGTTGTGGCCACTGTGTACTTTCAGTGCCTTCCAACCTCTGGGGGGCTCATCTTCCAGCACTATATCAGGCATTATTCTGTTGTGATCCATAGGGTTTTCATTAGCTAATTTTCAGAAGTAGCTCTCCAGGTCCTTCTTCCTAGCCTGTCTTAGTCTAGAAGCTCTGCTGAAATCTATCCACCAGGGGTGACCTTGCTGGTACTTGAAATACTGGTGGCATAGCTTCCAGCATTATAGCAACACGCAAACCACCACAGTCGGGTAAACCGACGGAAAGGTGGTGGAACAATTAGAAAGACAGGAGGAAATTTGAATGATATGACTAAGACCAGGTAGCAATATGAAGGAAGATGTTAAAACAGTTAAGTGAAAAGGTGAGTTCCTCCAAAATCTTTTTTTTTTAATTTTATTGTGCTTTAAGTGAAAGTTTACAGTGTAAATTAGTTTCTCATTCAAACATTTATACACAAGTTGTTTTGTGACATTGGTTGCAATCCCTGCATTGTGTCAGCATTCTCCCCCTTTCCCTTTCCCTGGTTCCCCATGTCCATTTTTCCAGTTTTCCTGTCCCTTTCTGCCTTCTCATCTTTGCGTTTGGGCAGGCGTTACCCATTTGGTCTTGTATACTTAGTTGATCTAAGAAGCACGTTTCTCACGTGTGTTATTGTTTCATAGGCCTGTCTAATCTTTGGCTGAAAGGTGCTTTCAGAATCTTAAACACATATGTATGCACAAGCACGCACACATGTATATGCACACACACATCCCACGTTTCCTGGCAGGAAACACATTCCCAGAGGTCTCCCTTTTCTGACATTCTGACAAGCTGTCACCTTGGAGCAGCCACAGTGGGGTCGAGACAGCTGTACAGCTTTCTGCTCACAAATCCTGCTTAGAATTCTTTTTAAAAAGTGACAAAAGAATTGGCATTTCCTGCTGAATTACTCAACACTTGGTCAGAGAGTTTCTTGTCTGTAAAATTTCAACAAGGAGTCCCTTTCCTCATGCAAAACTGAACTTGGATAATGCTGATCTTGTAACACTTTTTCCAAAAGAGCTCAGCTTCCTGACTTAGATGTTTCCCATGGTGACTTTTTAATGGCGATACAGTGCTCTAGTCCACTTAGTTTTCACTGAAGGGTTTTGTTACATTTCTCTAGAATAATGGCAGATCCTGATTCCTGATACAGGAGGGAAAGAGGAGGAGGAGGCCACAGAACAAAATCAGAGACTGTCAAGCCCTCGCTCCCCCAGGTGTTCGTCCCCTGAACAATCTTACCTGATGAAGGGGACATGGTAGGGGCGCACGAAGATGAAAAGACAGACGCCCACCAGCTGTGCTGATGTCAAGAGGATGTACCTATGAGAGCGCGAGATGGCCTTCTGGAGCTGCTCTCCCCACATCTTCCTGTTGGTGGTGCTGGAGAGGAGACAGCAGAGGGCGCTGCAGACAGGCAGCTGGGGCGCGCTCCCACCCCCAACTCCTCCAGCCCTAGTCGTATCCTTTTACGGAACTGATGCTGTCCTGCCTGCATCCCAACTCAGTGACCACCTGTCTCCTGTCATGGACTCCAAAGATCTTTTTGGTGTCACACTCATTGAAGTACCTCCCACCTCCATCCCTGGAACCCAGGACAGGACCTTCATCACAAGAGCTTAACTGAATTCGTTTTATTGATTTGTTCTGAAAGTTCCTTGGAATAAAACTGGAACTTGAGGGGGTGTGGGGGATGGCTGAAAGGAACAACAGAAAGACAAACAATGCAATTTAAAAATGACCAAAGGACTTGAAAAGACATGTCTCCAAAGAGGATGGAAAAACCTGTTGCCGTCGAGTCTATTCTGACTCATAGCGACCCTAGAGGACAGAGAAGAACTGCCCCATAGGGTTTCCAAGGAGTGGTTGGTGAATTCAAACTGCTGACCTTTTGGTTAGCAGCCGTAGCTCTCAACCACTGTGCCACCAGAGCTCCAAAGAGGATATAGAAATGGCCACTAAGTACATGAAACGATGCTCGACATTAGTCATTGTTGTTGTGTGCCACAATGAGATACCCCTTCACATCCACTAGGATGGCTATTATGAAAAAAAAAGGAAAATAACAAGTGTTGGAGAGGCTGTGGAACCCTTATGCATTGCTGGTGGGAATGCAAAATGGCGCTGCCACTCTAGAAAACAGTTTTGTGGTTCCTCAAAAAGTTAAAGAAAGAATTACCATATGACCCAGCAATTCCGCTCCTGGTTATATACTCAAAAGAATTTAAAGCAGGGACTCAAACAGATACTTGTACACCAAAATTCATTGCAGCGCTATTCACAATAGCTTCAAAGTGGAAACAACCTAAGTATCCACCAACAGATGAATGGATAAACAAAATGTGGTGTATCTATACAATGAGATATTATTCAGCCACAAAGAGAAATGAAGTTCTGATACACGGATGACATGGATGGACTTTAAAAGCATTATGCTGAGTGAAACAAGTCAGACACAAAGACAAGTACTGCGTGAGATCCCACTTATATAAAACATCACATAAAATATTAGAATAGGCAAATCTATAGAGCTGAAAGTAGATTAGCGATTACCAGTGGCTGGCAGGAGAGGGAATGGGGAGGTATTGCTTAAGGGGCACTGAGTTTCTGTTTGGGGTGATGAAAAAGTTTCGGAAACCAATAGTGGTATTGGTTGCACAACACTGAGTGTGATTAATGCACACTTGAAAATGGAAATTTTACGCTGTGCATACTTGACCACAATTAAAAAAAAAAAAAAAGCCAGGTTCATTTTATACCAAATATGAATCCGTGGTTTTGATTCTTTCCTTTGTACCTGGCGTTGAGAAGAAAGGCACCCCTCCCTGCACCCAGAAGTTGTCACCTGAAGCCAGGGAAGAGGACTGGCCCCACCCAGCCCACCCCACCCTCCAGGCACACACACCCAGCCCCAGGGCAGCGTGAATCACCTCAACAGAGGCCAGAGGCCAAGTCCACAACCACACCTTCCTTCTCTTCTCTTCGGCAGGGCGTAAAGAGGAAGGGCAGGTGTATATGTTAGTAGGGAAAGAGTTGTAGGGTTTACTTTAACTTTACCTAGAGTGATTTTGTCTTTGTCCTTTGTCTCAGTTCCTGAGATAACGCTAAACTGCTGGAACTTCCTGGGTCATTGAGGTGCCCTGTTTTCTACAGGCCTCCAGACCACACCTGTGAGCATATGCTAATAAGGTGACACAGGTGGGGCTGGCTCCTTGCACAGCTGGATCACCACAGATTCAGAAGCGGAGTGGCTCCGAGAAAGGCCCGCTCCCGGCCAGGCCCCTGCAGGGGACCACCTCCTGCCCCTCACGCTGGTCGCTTACCTGGCATTGACAATGTTCCCTGCGCTCAGCTCCACCATCTCTTCAAACCCCACGGCAAAGATGTCGGCAGGGCTGCAGTCATCTGGAGAAAGGTGGTAGATGGAGGGAATCAGAACTGCCACGGCCTGGGCCTGTCCCTCTTCTCAGCCACACTGCCTCACACAGCCAGCGTGCACCAACCCAGCCCACTCAGAGAAGGTGCCCTGGATCCCCCTTCCCTCTAGTCCTACTGTGCGCACCCACATGACACATCACCTTTCCCTGGGTGCATCCTTGGGCAGCTGTGAGCCCCCGAACCTCTGTTTATCTGCAGAAAGGGTCTGTAACCACCCCTCACAAGGTCGCCTGGAAGCCTACGCTAGATCATGTATCCCATGTGAAACACCGGGCACCTGCCTGGCCCACCGTATAACGTCCGCCCCCTCTTCCTTCCTGGTAACTTTCCAGTTGGAAACCACTCGACCACCAAATAAGCCAGATACGCACAGGCCCAACTGTACCTTCCACCAATCTGCAGTGCACAATTTCACCTGTCCCCCACCATGGCAAACATGTGGTGAAACCCATGTGCAACTGCTCACCACAGATTAGCAAGTAAACACAATTAAGCCCGTGCGTACCTTGCTCAATGCCAGCCAATGGCATACCGTTTACTAGTTAATCCGCCGCTGCAGAGCAGAGAAAACCCAGCCCGACCCAAGGCATGGCTTTGATGACATCTGTTCCCAAGATGCCTGGCTTAAAGGAAGCACAGTGAGCCATTCCGTCTCTGTTCCCTTTAACCGGGCAAGTTTAGGCTCGACACAATCCCCACAGCACATGACTGGACCCATTGCTCTCTGGCCCCGCTGTGACACTCGGTTCCGGAGGTGTCAGGTCCGGATGTGCTCCAACTGCTGCGACAGTGAAATCCACCCTCTCCCCCCATCAGTGGAAGGCTGGGTGAGCCACTTCCTTTCTGTTGCACCAACAGGTCAACTATGAACTTCAAGCTTCACTGGCTTAAAGCTTCCGTTTAAAACAAAACAAAACAATACCTGTTCCTCTGCTTGATCTGGTTGGCAACAGTAACTACAAGTCTTCCTTGTCCTGAATCTGGTAGGCTTCTAGCAGGAGCGACCCCACTACTTCTAGCCCCATAAGATCCCTGCAAAGTCACCATAAGCTGGTGCAACCGCCCACACGGTTCCCTCAGGCAAACGAGGAGGAGTCACCATTGGCAGCAGAGGCTCAACTGGCCTTCAGCCACATGCACTGGCTTGAAGGTTGTTCTCAATGTCCTCAGCATCCGTGGGGACAGAGTGGTCTCTGGACACACCACATCCGCCTACATGGTCCCATTTACACTGAGAATCCCTCTAACTCTGAGCTGCGGACTGGAGCGCTCCCCCATCTGTGGGCAGGAAAGGAGGGAGCAGGCGGGGCTCTGCGCATGGCCGGGGTATGGCCCCCCACGTCCATGGGCCAAATCACTCATCAACAGGCAATGCCCTGGGTAATGAGGCTCCTCCAGAATCCAAGGAGGCAGGAAAGCAAGGCTCCTGGGTCAATGCTGACTGACAAAGTAACTGAGACTTCAAATGCCGAGTTCTGAGGCCACTGAATATTACATTGCCTGATATGAGACAGAGGGGAGGCGCCACACTTGGAATTATTTTATTATTACTGGGTACACAAACTCTTTCTTGACTGCTTACAATGGGTGTATTTAGTTGGTCTGAGAAAATGCAGGATATCAAGATGTGCTTGGTCAGCCACTAACATTAAACGTTTGGCTCCAGACAAGCTCCTGACAGCAACAAAGCTCTGTAAGCCACAATGTCGTATGACAAACAGGATCTAACATTGAAAACCTCAGACAACAAAATCTCCACATATGAAAGAGAGGTTCGCCCCTTTGATAACTCTTCCAAATATTATGAAAAGAGGAGCCACCTCAGTCTCAAAAAGCTACACATTCTATGATTCCAACTATATGACATTCTGGAAAAGGCAAAATATACCCACTCCTCACTAATCGACATGCTTGGGTTCCAAAGACCAGGTTGTTAGCAAAAATAGATGTTATGTGAAAATTAGGATGACGACATCATTATATAACTGCCAAATTACATCATCACATAACTGCCAAACTGCTGAGAATCATGGCCCAGCCAAGCTGACCCATAACCTTGACCATCACAGCAAGCGTTACTCTCGGCTCACACCTTGGTGTCCGGCGTTTGTTACTGCCAGATGTGCGTCGTTAAGCACAAAGGAGTCACATAGTAGACTTTTTTACTATTGCTGTAAATGCAAAGTGTCGGATAATGAGAAAGTCGACATGTGAGGAGTGGGTGTATAGAGAGAGTCAGAAGATCCAGGGAGGGAGGGATGAGTAGGTGGAGCCCAGGGCCTTCTTTGGGCAGTGAAACTATTCTGCACGACACCGTCATGGTGGACACATGACATTATACACATATCAAAGCCCATAGGACTTATAACACAAAGGAGAAAACCAAACCCATTGCCATCGAGTTGATTCCGACTCACAGCGACCCTATAGGACAGAGTAGAACTGCCCCATTAGGGCTTTCAAGGCTGTAATCTTTACGGGCAGCAAATGTCACATCATTTTTTTCCTGTGGAGCAGCTGGTGGGTTCGAACTGCAGACTTTTTGGTTAGCAGCCGAGCATTTAACTACTGTGTCACTAGGACTCCTTACAACACGAACACCGAACCCTAATGTAAACTACGGACCTTAGTTAATAATAACGTATCAATACCGGCTCATCAGTTGTAACAAATGTGCCACAGAAATGCAAGATGTTAATAATAGTGTTGATAATAGAAGAAACTGTGCACAGGGGGAGAGGGTTTAGATGGGAACTCTCTGTACTTGCTGCTCAATTTTTCTGTAAACCTAAAACTGCTCTAAAAAAATAAAGTCTACTAATTAAAAAAAAAAAAAAGAAAGGTCAACTACAAGTCGTTAATTTGTTAGGCAGTGTTCTGGAACATTCTGAAAAGTAAAAAAAAATTACCCAGTATTGAATTCCACACAGCAACAGTTATTAAAAAGGTCAAACCTGAGGGATAAATGGAGTTTATGTTTTGTTTTCTCCAAAGTAATTGCTCTCACCCTGAAATTCGGCAACTCCAGAAAGCTTGGGCGAATCCAGCAGCCAGTCGGTCAGCTCTCCGGTCCCAAGGAGATTGCTCCTGAACTGCTTCCCTCCATTTACATTCCACGTTCCCATGGCGATACGGATCCGTTTGAAATTTGTGAATTCGGACTGCCGCTCGGACATAGCTTTCAGGATCCTGGGAGTCACTGTATGGAATGATAAAAAGGCACATCTCTCTGCAGCTCATACACAGAAGGGGCTCCCTGTCCCAGGAAGATGAATTCACTAGTCTATAGCTATGGGCCAAAATATGAACCTTATAAAGACAAAGGCTGTAAACCACAAAAACCAGTACATTTATCTTACAGTATTTTTGCAATAAAGTCATGAAAACGTTGTTGTTAGGTGCCATTGAGTCCATTTAGACTCATAGCAACCCCATGTGACAGAGAAGAACTGTCCCATAGAGTTTTTCTTTTTCGTATATATTTTATTTTTGTTGCTGTTGTTGAGAATATACACAGCAGAACATACATCAGTTCAACAATTTTTACACATACAATTCAGTGATATTGATTACATTCTTCGAGTTGTGCAACCACTCTCACCCTCCTTTTCTGAGCCGTTCCTCCCCCCTTAACATAAACTCATTGACCCCTAAGTTTTCTATCTGATCTGAGTTGCTGCTGTCAATTTGATCCATATGCATAGATCTTAAAAGAGCACCATACTCAAGGCAGACATTCTTCACTAGTTAAGCTAAACTATTGTTTGGTTTTAAGAAGACTTCAGGGCATATTTTTGGTTTAAGGTTTAAAGATTATCTCAGGGCAATAGATTCAGGGGTTCATCCAGCCTCCATGGCTCCAGAAAGGCTGGAGTCCACGAGAATTTGAAGTTTTGATCTCCATTTTCCCCTGTTTGGTCAGTATTCCTTTATAGAAACTTTGATTAAAATGTTCAGTAATGGGAGACAGGTACCATCCAGCTCTTCTGGTCTCATGGCAAAGGAGGCAGTTGTTCATGGAAGCAATTAGACGTACATTCAATTTCCTCCTCCTATTCTTGACTCTCCTTCTTACTCTGTTGCTCCAGGAGAATAGAGACCATCATTGTACCAATCATGGATGGCCACTTACAAGCTTTTAAGGTCTCAGGCACCATGCAAGGAACTAGGAGGTAGAACAGAAGCACTAAACACGTCATTAGGCCAATTAACTGCGGTGTCTCATGAAACCATAACCCTAAACCTCCCAGCCAAGGAACCAAATCCCATGAGGTGCCTGGTTGCATGTAAGCAGCCTCAGCAGCTACTCTTTTTTTTTTGTCATTGTTGTAAATGTATCTATCACACTGCTCCATAGAAGTTGGTGGTTCAAACCCACCACCTGCTCCGCGGGAGGGAGATACAGCAGTCTGTTCTCATATTACATACATATATATATATGTATATATATACATATACTTAAAATGTCTTACCAACCAAAACACCCATCTTTGAATTTTCCACCTTCCGTTCAGCGTGTCTAAAATATATATATTTTTTATACCTCAGACCTGTAGCTTTTAAAACTCACTACATTGAACCATGTCCATCCTCTGGAGACCCAAAATATATTCAATTTTTTAAACTACTGACTTAACCAAAAATCTAAATCATATCTGTTATTTTGTGCCATAATATCTACCTTGCTACTAAACAAAACTTACTATACTACTCAGGCGAGCCCTGGTGGCGCAGTGGTTAAGTGCTTGGCTGGTATGTCCCATGAAACCATGACCCTAAACCTCCCAACCAAGGAACCAAATCTCATGAGGTATTTGGTTGTACATAAGCAGCCTCAGAAGCTACTCTTTTTTGGTGTTGTTGCAAATATATCTATCACACTGCCCCACAGACGTCAGTGGTTTGAACCCACTAGCTGCTCTGCGGGAGGAAGATGCAGCAGTCTGCTCTCATGAAGATTTACAGCCTTGGAAACCCCAAGGGGCAGTTGTACTTTGTCCTATAGTGTGCTGGGAGTCGGAATCGGCTCAACGGCAACTGGTTTGGGTTTGGGAATATGAATTCCTCCTAGGATTTTTTTTTTTTTAATTGTAGTGAAAGTATACGTAAGGAAACCTTCACCAGTTCAACAATTTCTACGTGTACAACTCCGTGATGTTGTGCAACCTTGTCAGAGGAAGGTTTTAAGCCTTAGAGATAACAGCTGTAAGGCACTGCGAGGTATGGAACCACCTCACAGAAGGCGATCTGCCCTTGTTCTCAGTTCTTTCTAGCTGTGCCATCACCTGAATGGGGGCTGACCAGACCGACTGGGACCAACTGGGGGTCTGGGGCTAATCAAGCCTCACAAGGCATGATGTAATCTATCTTGGCCATGTGGTGAGGCCCATAAGAGCCCCCTTAGGGACATGTAAGCTCTGTGCTGTGACTCCTCCCAGACCTCACCCTACGTGTCTCTTCGTATCCTTTTTGGTTGTAATAAAGTTGTAGCCACAAGTATGGTAAAATAAATAAATAAACAAAACATCCAGGAGAAAGAGCAGCAGCTGTAAGTGGCTCAGGTAAACTGGTCAGATCATGAGACGGATTACGTAGAAATCAAGGCCAGAAATCCAAAGAGCAGGTGCTCTCCACTCTGCCCTACACTGGAAGGGGGCGTCTGCCATTCTCCTTCTTGGATTCCACGAGGAGGGGTAGAATGTGGGGTTGGCAGGCACATCCCCCACACCTGTCCCTCCATGCAAGCAGAGGGCCCTCTTACCCAGAAGTGCTGTGTTGTCCATAAGCATCCTGCCTTTGTCAGCTGACTCCTCACTGTAGACGTCCCCAACTAGCAGAAGCTTGATGGCCTCCTGCTTCACCCCATCGAAGAAGTTGGACTGGATCGTGCGTGACACGGAGCGGGCCCCATCCTTCAGCTTCCCCACCTGCCGCAGGCCGGGAGCAAGACCATGAGAGAGACTCACTGTGGGCCCCCTGCCCTCCCTCCCTGACTGCCCCTACCTTAGCCTTCCCTTCCAGGGCCCGGCTGCCTGTAAATACTTTGCTCAGGCTGTGCCCGTTCAGGGACCACATGGCTTTGAAGGCCTCCACGAAGCGGTCAGCGATGGGCTTTGAATGCAGCCCCAGGCTCTCAAGCTGCAGATGGAGGACCTGGGCGAGAAATACAGGGCGTCACCAGGGGCTTCTCCACAGCTGCCAGTGGCTCCCTGGCCTTGGAGCGAACGCCACCGGGGGTCACCTTAGCAAGCTCCTTATTTCAGAACATTGTAGGCTGCTTGGGGCCCCGGAAGACCGCACCACCCAGAGCAAGAGAAGTTCTGGCTGCAGAGAAAGTTCTCGCCACAACTCACCCTGGCTTTATTTATGTGCTCCACCTAGTCCACTCTGACCCCCCGACCCCTGACCCCATCACCACCACCACAGGAGGCCTGGACAGCAAGTGGCACTGACCCACCTTCCCCCTCCAAGCCATGAGCCAGGAGAGGCCAGTAGGCCACACACAGACTCTGGTCTTCAGACTTCCTACTCCCTCCCGGGTCTCACTCAGCCACCCTGAGGCAGCCCTGCCTGTCTCTGCCCACATGGGACTCCTGTCTCTGCCCACACGGGACTCCTGTCTCTCAAGGGGGCACCTGGTACCTCCGGGCTGCCTTGTCCAGGCACAATCCAAAAAATGTGTGAAGTGAGTTTCCCTATGACAGGGCAAAGGCATATTGTGGATGGGGAAGCCCACTGCCCAGAGAAGCACAGCTCAGCCCAGTCTCCCTCTCTCAGAGTCAGAGCTGACCCAGAGACACCCCCCATGCTGCCTGAGGTGCTCTGTCAGTGCGATGGCCGGGGTTGCAGACACTGACCTCGAGAGCGATGAAGCACTGCACAGTGTTGGTTCGGTCCAGGCAGTCGAGACAGTTCATTCGCAGAGTTCCTTTCTGAAAGCTAGGACGACGGCGAGAGACCAGGGTTACAAATCGTGTCTGAAGGGGCAACGGCATAGCACAATGGAGCAGATTTAACTACAGACCCCCAAGGAGATGGGAACCAAGAACAACCCTGCTCCTTGGCCTGACATGCATCCAATGGATCCAACACTGCTGAGGTTGCCCATGCTCAGCAAACTGCACACTTGTGACTGTGAGTGCTGATCTGGGGGAACAAGGTCTTCTCCTTCTCCTCAGCTCTGAGCGGGCAGCACCCATCCCAGTCTCCTCACGGGGCCTTCTCCTCAGGTCTGAGCAGGCAGCACCCATCCAGGTCTCCTCACGAGGACTTCTCCTCAGCTCTGAGCAGGCAGCACCCATCCAGGTCTCCTCACGAGGCCTTCTCCTCAGCTCTGAGCAGGCAGCACTCATCCAGGTCTCCTCACGGGGCCTTCTCCTCAGGTCTGAGCAGGCAGCACCCGTCCAGGTCTCCTCACGGGGCCTTCTCCTCAGCTCTGAGCAGGCAGCATCCATCCCGGTCTCCTCACGGGGCCTTCTCCTCAGCTCTGAGCAGGCAGCACCCATCCAGGTCTTCTCACGGGGCCCTCTCCTCAGATCTGAGCAGGCAGCACCCATCCCGGTC